TTACAATCAAAATGTAACTAAGCTACTATCCTCATTAACGTATACAATTAAACTTGACATCAAAATGTAGTTAATAAATCAAATTTTAATATTATATAAGGTTAAATTTCAAAAGAAAATATTTATATAAATTCTAAATTTCCCCATGTATTTCTAATACGACATATGTTCTCCTCCCATTTGCCCATTTTTCTGTTTATTGTCGCCCCTCTTTGAGTTCCTGAGTTTAACATAAATGACTCATTATAGTATAATGTTATTCATTTTTTATAACTTCAATCTGCTTTTCTTAGAGATAAAAACCATGAAGTTGAAACCACTTATGCCCTCTTATAATATTCTTTCTTCCACAAATTTCTGATGATTGTCTAATATTTACTATTACATCATTTATAACAAATAGAAAGACAAAGTTTAACTCTTGTACCCAGAAGATAATTTTGGTTATTTCGCTGCATGTTGGAAGTTGCTGTTGCTGAATTCAGATCGATCAACTAAAAAATTATTTTAAGGCACTTTATCTCAACTTAGAAAGTGAGTTAAACTGTAATAATTATAAGACATTGTTTGCTTTGTGGTAGTTATATCATGTTTTTAAGTGCATATTTGAAGTAAATAAACACCATCATTACCAAAATGTAGGCTAAGTTTCATCAGCAGGCTGATAATAAGAAAAAAACAAGGCCAAATGTTCGTGTTAAATTTTTTGTTTTATATGTGTTATAAAAGTAACTAAAATGTAAAAATTAGGAACTTGCTAGTTAATATTAGGTTAGCTGATTAAAAAAATTTATTTTTTTCACAGAGTATTCTCATGAGTAGCTCATGCATTGTCATTTAATATGGTAGTTTCAGGTATATATTCACAATGTGATTTACAGCTTGTGTCACAGGATCATTAATTTAGACAAGGTTCAAAGAGAAATGAAACAATAAAAATAGATTTAAACTGTACCAGTCTTAAGCTGTTTAGGATAAATAGTTTTAATTTTCTGTTATAATCTGCAATCATCCTAGAAAGAAAGAGTAATTTAATTTTATTTAGATTTTGTTTTTTCTTTTTTAGTGATAGTTACAAGGTCAGTCAAATTGAGTGAGTACATTTAGTGTTAACATAAAGAGAATAACTAATAAATTGAAGTTTTATTGAAAAAAATGTTTATATTCATCTAGAAGAAGTTAAGAAAAGAAATTTGAAAACTGAGATGAAAAAGTATCTTTAATCTTGAAATAAAAATCACCTTGCACTCAGACCAGTCAGAGCCTGATTCACACACACTGGCTCCATGTATTCATAGACAAATCTTCAGTAAAAATACTGTGTACAAAAACTTGTAACGTTTGCTAAAAGTTTTTAAAAATGTGTTTTTGTCATGAATAGAAAATTTTCTTTTGAGATGTTTCTACAATTTCATTATCATTTACCACTAATTTAACATTAGTTTGAAAAAAAAAAAAGGTCTTTGAAAACATTTAAAATTGGACATTGAAAAATTCTGGAATTTATAGGTATCTAGGCAGCCTATATGAACTCTTTGAAGATTCATGAAATTTTCTGTTTTTATATAAATAAGCTTTATGTATTTTAATTACAAAGGGATTTTTTTAAAAGAAATTTTAAAGATGGTATTAATTTATTTATACTAGACTTCCCTCCATTGAATCATTTAGGTTATATTTGAATTAGTTTTCAGTGCTATAGATGCAGATTTTGAAGAGATACATCACACTTTTTGTCTAATTAATTTAAGTAAGTTAACGTTTATATGTGATTAAATTTAAATTACATGTTTACTGTTTTTAGGAAGGGGAATACAACCATGATTCAAATGTTGATCTTTATGATGATGTTATCACAGCCTCTACAGGAGATATGGGACACCCTGATGAGGTACATTAACTTGAATGTTTAAATGACTATTAATTTGCATTGTTGACATAGTATAGGGATTGAGGAGTAACTTAAATTTTCTAAGTTGACTAAACCTTGATATTATTGAAATAGGAACAAAGATTTTCTTTATTTTGGAGGGTACACAACTGATGATTCATTTTATTCTAATCATTATAGGTTGCAATTTTTATTTATTTATTTATGAAATTATATTTTTATCATTTTGTTACATAAAATGGGTTTGATGTAATGTATATTTTCTTTTCTTATGATCAGAAATTATTAATGATATAACTTTAGTCCTTACTTCTTGTCATTTAAGGATAAGAAAATCTAAAGTTAACTAACTTTAGCTGTAGTAAATTGTCATTACTTATCACATCCTCATCACTTTAAGACACAGACTTTACTCTTGACACCATTAGAAATAATTGACAGTTTAGTATTGTGTGTGAATTGTTTTTAAGCTTTATAGGGTTGCATACTGCCACAATAGTAGGATATAAGGGGCATTGCCATCCCATTTATGTTTTACTTTATTTTCCACTATTATTCAAAATCAACTAAGTTTGTAAGCTTATATAGTTTTCTTTTTCCATTAATTACAACTGTGTTAGATTAACAAAATAATAAAACCAAGGATCATGGATTTGCAACTGTAAGGTGATTCCATAGCTTTTCGTGTGATGTATTTTGAGCTGCCGTTTAAACTTAATCTTCAAGAACAGTACTTTCCGAGACAATAACTCTCCTCTATACATAGAAATATTATTTCCCTGACATGTCTGCCTTTGTGATTTGCATGCCACTAGCCTTGAGCTAACTCCCTCCAAATTCATGGGTTTAATGTAAATTGCAACAACTTCTCCACAATGATGACATCATGTGTCAATAGTTCTTCACCTCCATGAGCAGTAATTCCCCCTATGCACTTGCACTCACAATAACTGCATTTTTTTCCTCAGCGTTACATTCAACAGACCTGTTTAAAATTCTCGTTGCATTTGTTTATGAAACTTTGATTTTAATTTTCTTTGGTTTTTGTTTCAAAGGTTTTGATTCTTATCTTGAATTCTCAAGTTACAGTGACTTCAACTTTGTTCTATATGAGTGACGATGTTACATGCACAGGCTCTATGTCTACAGTGTCTTTGATAAGCCTGTTGAGGATGTTACTGCCATTGTAAAGTGTGTTATGGTATCTTTCATGCATGCTGGACCTTCTAGTACTGTCCATTTGGCTAACTTCCCTTCCCCTCACTTTGTGATTGACCAGGGTGAATATGAATTTGGACATCAGTTTCTTTCATCAGAATTTGCTTTGGGTACCTACCTACCTGTTGAGGTAAATCCTCAAACTTCTATACTATTTTAGGATTGATTTTCTCATGTATGTTCTTTTTTCTTTCTCTTTCAATTTTTCTCAGTTTTTGCTTCATGATCCTAATCCTCTGAATTGTTTAGTATTTCCTCCCTTGGATGACACTTGGATTCATGCTGATTCCTTTCTTAAATAGCTTTGCACCCATACCCACATGTCTTGTCCTTCTCACCTCCTTGATTTTCATGTTTTAGCTTACAACTGTTTTTCCTTCCCTTTTCTAAACTCAGTTTTTGGGATTTTGGGGAGTGTACACGTTGTCTCTTCTGATTCACTCTCTAGTGTCCAGTTTTATGTCTTCATCTTTTTGTCACCATCCTCTATGTCTGGGGTGTTTCATTGTGCTCCAGAAGGGTTTTCAGGGGAGGTTAATTCCCTTCTTTTTATCATGCTGGCTCATACCATTTCTGCCCTATCCATGCTCAGTTGGTTCTTCTGCTGTTGGGACTTTTTTTTGGGTTGGGATACTCTCCTTACTAATATATGCCTACCTACTTCTTATCTGCATGATCTCTGTCAGGTTCCATTTCTTTGATGTGAAGTATTCAGTAGTATTTCTGACCCGTTGAACACTCTGTTTCTCTGGTTTCTCACCTTTCACAATCTTGCTCTTCAACTTTTGTTCCTCGTTCTGGTTGGTGTGTCTCTAACCTTCTTGTTCCACCTTCCAGACCTTCCTCTAACCCAGTCTTTTCTTTGGCATGTCGAGGATGCGATATCAGATCCTTTTGCCAACCATGCCATTGAGAGGGTAATACAACACTTCCCCATGTTCTTAACCTTGTTCTGTTTGTGGTCACCAAAAATATTGGTAGTTGACCTATTGTCTATCAAATGATTTATTGTTGTTCCACAATTTACGATGTAGAATTTCTTTACTCTCTGGTGTCTTTCTCAGGATTCTTTGTTCTTGATTATGTACCTCCCCTCTCCTTTACTCAAGGAATTGTTATGGTGGCTAGACTATGCCAATACTACTTCTGACATTCTTTTAACATTCCCCAGATAATCTCTGTCTCTTCACCAATGCTTCCCTCTCAGATTGGGACACTTCTCTGAGTGATGACATGACTTCTGGCATTGGATATAGAATAAGTGTTCACTCCACATATCGTGTTCAAACTTTTTGCTAAAGACATGTTCCCATTTCCTGCCCCTTTTGGTGGATTAAATGGTAATTATCCATTCTGACAATTCCACGGTCATTTCATACATAATCCATCAAGAAGGTACCCATTCCAGAACCCTTTGCTTTAAGGCAATTGACAAACTCTTCTGGGCTCATTCACATTGGGTTTGTCTTGTTGCCTGTCTTGTGACAGGAGAATGAACCTAGTGTCAGACTGCTTTTATTGGTCAGACCTGGTTCTACACATGGAGTAGTCTTCTCTTCTGTTCCCTGTTTCTTACCTTTTAATTCTGGCTGTTGATGCTCTCAACCAGGACTGGACTCACATTTTTATATATGCCTATCCTTTTCTTTGCCTATTATTTTGGGTTCTTGCTTTGACATGTGACACTCCTTGATGGTGCCTTTTTGGCCATTTTAGCCTTGGTTTTTTCTGCTTCTTTGCTTTCCATCTAGAGCCCCTTGTTCTTTTACTCAGTGTCCCTTCTATTGGTTCAACCTCACATGCCCCTTTCTCAGCAAGGGACGTTGTCCCTCCATCCTTAGGAGTAGGATTTGTCAGGTCCATTGCCCATTGGATCTGATTTGTATAGCCTTCTTGTTGTAACATCTCTATTGCCCTTCCACTATGCCTGTCAATGAAAGTGGCAAGTCTTTCGTTGTTAGTCCATCTGCCACTCCTTTCCTCCTCGTCATCCTTTTGTGAACCACCTTTCTGCCTTGGCTGTTTGATCATGATTTGTCACTCTCTGCCATTGCTAGTTATCAGGTGACATTTGTCTACTATATTTCACTTTTCCCAGTACCACAGGATGTTTTCTTCCCCTGTCCTCTCCACCCTGTTCCACTCCTTCCTTCTTCACCAACCTCCTCGCCTGACTCCCATACCTAACTGGGACCTTAATGTAATTTTGTACACTCTCATATATGCCCGGTTCAAGCTGTTGGCTTCTCGTTCTTTGTACCACCTTTCTCTCAATACATATTTCTTCTTTTCACCTGTGGCTGCCATTTTTTGGATGTCTGTGCTGTTGATGCTTTTCACACCCTCTTCCACTGCACTTAAATACTTCTTTACCTGGTCCAGTCTTTACTTCCTAAGACTTCTACTACTTGGGAATGCAACTATACTTTCTCTCTTGTGTCCTGTTCTGGCTATTCAGTGTTACTTATCATGGACTTCTCCCTTTTGGGGTCCCCATCATCATCTGTTCCACCCTGGGAACCTCTCTTTTCCCCCTATCCTTAATGGGCGAGTTTGTCCTTTCTTATGGTTGGTATGTTCTTCCCTAGATATGGATGCTTACAGGCTTTTTGTTATGTCTCTTCATATCAGATTTGTCACCTCTCTCTCTCTCTCTCGTTCTTCTCTCTTCGTTTCGTACCTTAACTTCGTTAGGTATGGAAGTACTCCCTACCGACGGAACTAAAGTTGGTGGTACGGAACCTAACCCTT